TTGAGGAGCAAACGCTTTAAGGAGTCCAATTTATCCACTTTTTGGATCATGCTTTTGAAGAAATCTTTGCCTAACCCAAGGTCACAAAGATTTTCTTCTGTTTCCTTCTCTAAGTTTTGTAATTTTACCTCTTACATTTAGATCTATGTTCCATATTGACTTCAATTTTGTAAATGGTGTGAAGGAAGGGTCTGGGTTCTTTTTTTTTTTTTTTCTCCATATAGATAACTGATTGTTCCAGCATCATTTGTTCCAGCCCCATAAAAAAGACTATCCTTGGCACCCATTGCCTTGGAATTCTTGTTGAAAATCAATAGATGGGGTGCCTGAGTGGCTCAGTCGGTTAAGCAACTGCCTTCGGCTCATGTCATGATCCCGGAGTCCCGAGATCAAGTCCTGCATCGGGCTCCCTGCTTAGTGGGGAGTCTGCTTCTCTCTCTGACCCTCCCTGCCCCTCAAATAAATAAAATCTTTAAAAAAAAAAAAAATCAATCATCATGAAGTGAGTTTATTTCAGGTTTATTTATTGTCTTCTATTGATCTATATTTTAATATTTATGCCAATATTATTTTAACTACTATAGCTTAAAAAGGTCTTGAAATTGGGTAAACTTGGGTAACTTCCAATTTTGTTCTTTCTCAAAATTGTTTTGGCTATTCTATGTCCTTCGCATTTTCTTATCAATTTTAGGATGAGCTTGTGAATTTCTACAAACAGGCCTGATAGGATTTTAATAGGAATTAGATTGAATCTACAGATCAGTTTGGGGAGAACTGTGGTCTTAACAATATTGTCTTCTAATCCACATACATGGTACATATCTCCATTTATTTAGGTCTTCTTTAACTTCTCGTGTGTTTAAAGTGGGGAAAAAAAAAAAAGGATCCCTAAAAGCATTATAGACTATCTAGAGCAGATTCAATCTGGAGATTAATATATTTTATCTATCTAACAATTTATTTATTTTCTTTTAAAGATTATTTATTTATTTATTTGCCAGAGAGAGACACAACGAGACAGAGAACACAAGCAGAGGGAGTGGGAGAGGGAGAAGCAGGCCTCCCGCCGAGCAGGGAGCCTGATGCGGGGTTTCGATCCCAGGACCCTGGGATCATGACCTGAACCGAAGGCAGACGCTTAACGACTGAGCCACCCAGGCACCCCTCTATCTAACAATTTAATTTAACTAGGGCAACGCCTGGGATTTCTACTACCCTCCCTCCACCCAAGTGCCTCCAGCAGTAGTTTTGAAGACAAATGCACAATGCACATTATCAGAATTGTTACTGCTGAGAATACACTTTGCATGAGAGCATGAAGCGGAAAACAAGTCCACAACTACAGAGTGCAGATCTTGTTATTTTGAGTGGGAATTAAAAAAAAATTTTAGATACCTTAGGGATGTATTTAATTTGAATAGTTCTGATTAATAACTGCTGCTTACCTTCTCAAAGGGGAACAGATTTCTATCCTATCCTGGATAATAACAATAAAAATCACTTCTGAAATGTTTACTGTGTGTCAGGCATTCTTCTAAGCACTTTAAAAATATGAACTCATTTAATCTTAATAACAACTCTAAGGGATAAGGATTATTAGCCCCATTTTATACACAAGGTCACTCAAGTCCAGAGAAATTGAGTAACCTGTTCCAGGTCATACAACTAGGAAGTAGTGGAGCCAGAATTCAAACCTCGGCAGTGTAGCTGCAGAATCCATTCTCTTAACCACTCTGCAGCATGAGAGAGCAGAGCATTTCATATAGAAGGATTTTCAAACTTCTGCTTCCAGTAATTGAAGACTGGATAATTCAGATCAACCCTCTCAAACAACAAAATATTTTTAAAAACCTAATCAAATACATCAGGGAATTAACAAAGGGTAAGGAATTAACAAACAGTCCAAAGAAGGCAGCAATAAGAGAAGCCACATTTGCCAATTCCGGATCAGATGGCTAAGAGGCTGTTCATTTTTTATGCCAGTTTTATAAGGTTAAAGGAACAAAAGTCAGGAGTTCCTGGTGTGTTAAGAGTGAGAGCCTTGGTAAAATCCTCACGATTAAATTGGGACCCAGAAAAGCTTCATCCTAGGAATAAGGGTGAACCAGAAATAAACCCAGACATTCATGGAATTCAGCCCAGTTTCTAGTCATCTGGGGAGACCAGAAAATATCAGTCCCTGAAATTGAATTAAGATGATTCTGTCCTGCTGGTTGCTTCTTCTAAGCATGTAAGAGCAAAGAAAATCCTCTCTGAAGAACGATACTATTATCTGAGGTTTCAAGTTATTTCTACATTTTTTTTACATCAAAATAGCGGGTACGTAGTCAAAGAAATCAGGCATAAGAGAAAACAAGACAAGAAGAAATAATGTAGCAGAAAAAAAACACATTATAGAAACAGACAGAAGTTCCAGATATGTGGACTATCAGAGAAAGACTTTAAGATAACTACTTTAAACTATTTTCAAAGAGATAAAAAAGTATATTTTAAATTTTGGCAGAGAATCACAAACTATAAATAACACAGGAGATGTGAAAAATAAACAGAAATTCAAGAATTGAAAAATGTTTCAAAGGAGTGAAATCATAGAGTATGTTCTCTGTCCATAATGCAATTATGCTAGAAATCACTGATAAAAAGATAATCTTCACATGTTTGGAAATTAAGAAACAGCTAAATGGAATAAATATATCTCTAAAGATATATTTAGAAAGAGGAAATCAAGATGGAAATTAGAAAATATGTTGAATTAAATTAAACAAAAAATACTGCTATCCAATGCAGTTAACATTGTACTTAGAGGTTTACCGAGTTGAACAAATATTTTAGAACGGAGAAAGTCTGGAAAATAATGTGTTAATTTAAGTACCTATATAAAAAGATATAGGAAATAAAAAAATAATAAGATAGAGCCAAAGTAAGTTGAAAAAAGCCCATAAAGAGCAGAAATGAATGAAGCAGGAAACAAATAGTAGAGCAGATTGATAAAGCCAGAGCTTGGTTCTTTGCAAAGACTAATAAAATTGATAGATCCCTAGGGAATCTGGTTAAGAAAATAAAAAAACTAGAGTTAGGAACTAAACAATGGATATCACAATTGATCCTGCAAACATTAACAAGATAAAAGGATTTTATGAAATCTTTGTGCCAATAAATTTCAAAACTTTGATGAAATAAATTCCTAGAAAAATATAACAACAAAAACCAACACAAGAACAAATTTGAATAGTCATGGAATGGCTAAAGAAACTAAACTTGTAATTAACCTATTAAACTAATGAAATGAAATTTGCAGTGAAAATCCTTCTCACAAAGAAAACTCCAGAATCAGAAATGCCTGGCTGGCTCACCTGGTAGAGCAAGGGACACTTAATCTTAGGGTTGTAAGTTCGAGCCCACATTGGGTGTAGAGAATACTTAAAAAAAAAAATAAAATCTTTAAAAAAAGAAAAGAAAACTCCAGAATCAGACAGCTTTATCAGCAAATTCTACTGATCATTTAAGGCAGAAATAATTCTAATTTTACATAAATTACTCCAGAGAATTTAAAAAGAGAGAGAGAAACCATTCCTTAACTTATTTTATAAAGCCAACAATAAAAAGTATAAACCAAAAGTATAGGAAAAAAAGAAAGTGAACATAATTAATGTCAGAATAGTGATTACCTTTAGGCAGGAGGGAAAGGTATAACCGGGAAAGGGCAGGCAGGTGGGTTTCTGGGGACTGGCAATATTGTTTCTTGACCTCAGTAGTAGTTTCCTCTCATTTGCTTTATAATAAATCACTAAGATGCACATTTCTGCTTTTTACACTTTGCTGTATGTGTAATATAAGTCATAATAAAATTTTTATTTAAATTTATGGGACCAGTGTCAGTTAATAAGAGAATGGTATGACTATTTGTTGACTGTTCAGTAATTTTCTTGATTCTACCTATATTTACTCTAACAGACTTATAACTTCCACTTCTCGGAGATAATCTTTTAGAGATTAATCTCTTTAATGTTTACTTGCTTCCAAATTCCATTAACGCACAATATAATCAATATTAACGCACAATACGCTCAATATAACTATTGATTCCATTATACTGGAATCAATAGTTATATTACATTTAGTAATAAAGGTACCTATTCTTGAATATTCTATACTTCTTAACATGGAGCATTACTTCTAAAACCCAAAATTTAATCTTGGGTGACAAGACACGAAGATTAACTAATAATCTGTATGTCTGCAGGGTGTACAATATAAAGACAAATGAGATGGGTATAGTTTCATCTGGGACTAAATAAACATCAACTTGGCATTTTTTCTGGGAACTTCCACATCTGTTTCCTATCATTGATTATTTTAATCTATTTGTCTTCAGTCTTTGTCTATCTAGCCCTAGTTCAAAACGCAGGCATCTGTCTAGATGTAAAAAGCTTTTACAGTAACAGGAAATTTGATTTAATGATCTGAAAAATGAATGATCTTTTATTACGACCATGCCATTTTATTTCTTCTCTGTAACTAAAGTAAAAGGAACTGCTAAGTGAACACATTTCAAATTTTATTTTGACAGCAATTACAAAGCCTACAGTGAACTACTACTCCTATTCACCTCTCTGAATGCCTTTAAGATTCCCTTTACAGTCAATAAGTATCAAAATTTAACAGACTTGGGGTGCCTGGGTGGTGCAGTCGGTTGAGTGTCCAACTCTTGGTTTCAGCTCAGGTTGTGATCTCAGCGTCATGAGACTGAGCCCTGCCTCAGGCTCCGTGCTCAGTGTGGAGTCAGCTTGGGGTTCTCTCCCTCTCCCTCTGCCACTGCCCCCAACGTGCATGCTCATGCGAGCTCTCTCTCTTAAATAAATAAATAAATCTTTAAAAAAATATATAACAGACTAAAATAATTCTGACTAGAATTATAGAGACCCAAACTTTGGTCTACATACTTTCATGAATTTGATAAACTCAAATAAATGTAGCATTTTCATCATAAAATTTCTCACTTTTGGAACATGAGGATTAAATTCCACAGCTCTATGAATTGCTTCCACAGCATTGATTTCTGCTGTGCTTAGCCCTCTTCTGGAAGCTGTTTCGGGAGAGAATCTGTAAGAAAACCACAACATGAAAAAATTAATATAAAAATCCATGGATTTTGATCATAATCTAACTTCCTGAAGCAGGGGTTTCTGGTGAAAGCCAAAGATAAAGCCAAATAACTACTAAACATGAAATAAAGCCCTTGGGTCAACATATAAAGAAGGGCAGCATAAGAAATGGAAATCTTCAAGTTTAGGTAGTGAAAGCCTTCAGAAGTCCACTGGCACGTTCTGGGAAAGGTGATAAAATAAGAAATGCTACATAGGGACATCCAGAGAATCTCATGAAATAGAGGTACATTCTTATAAAATTTTCACTGAGAGGAAACAGACTGTGAATATTCCATTCTAATTCATATCGAGGCATAGTAATCTAAGGCAAAAGAAAATGGTTGCCCTTTGGTTTCTGAATATCTTATCTGTGGAATAAAGAGAAATTCATTAAGGACAGCCAAAAAGACAAGGGAAACAGAATAATGTAGAATTATAATCTCAGAACAGACAGCATGAAACTATTTCCCTACCACACACCTTATCATCATCATAGCTACAATGTACTCCATGTACACAACCATGCTACAGTATTATTATTCTCATTTTACAGAAAGGAAGAAACTCAAACTGATTAACGTGCCCAAAGTTCCACAGCTGGTATACAGTAGACTGTGAACTGGAATCCAGGTTTATTTAGCTCTAAAAACCGTGCTCACTACATTGGTAAGAAGCCTCAAAGCTCCATGAGATCAAGGGTTATTCAAAAGGAAATAGGGAGGAAAAAGCATTGTTTAAAGTCAGTGGTGAAAAACAATACAAGTTTCCCCTGCGATCTGCAAGTAGAGCGTTCCTAAGAAACCTTTCCTAAGCTGGAATGGCATAAAGGGAAGAAGCAATTACCATTTCATAAATGTGAGCATCCTGTTCGGATTTCTTTCAGTTAGCAAACACAGGTATTAATGTAAGTGTTTTATAAAAGTGAAGTGGCATAAAGTGAACTTTCAGATAGCAGGGGAAACCCGCCTTGAGTTTAGTAGTCTTTCTGAATTACTGTAGTTTTCAATACTTACTTATCTGAAACAGTCCTTGTCTTCAATAGTGCTGCTGTATAACAGATTGCTGCTGACTTTGGAAGGCTTATATCTGTAATTGTAATTTTCAACTTAGGTAAGAATCACAAAAAATATCTTAAGACAATTTTTAATAAGAATAATTCCTGGTACAAATTCAATAGATAAAAACTAAGATTCAGGGGGAAAAAAGAAAGAAATATTTAACAGGAGTTAAATCCAGGTAATACAACAGGTGACTTTAATTTTTTCTTCTTCCAATGTTTTTGTATTTTCTACATTGTCTTACAGGATTTTTTATAAAATAAAAAAAAAAGAATCAGGAATTATAATATAGTTAATTATACCAATCCTTTCTTAAAGAATGCCCAAAATAATGTTATCAGGAGAGTAGTACTAGTGAACTCTCTCGAAGTTTTAGATTCCAGAGTTACACCAGCAAATCAAGAACTAAAGAAATAAATTTGCTTTTAGCTTCTACAGGATTCTAGAATGGTAAAAACTGGGGAATCATAAAAACAGCTGAAAATACAGAAGCATACCTAAGTTGTTAGTTTTATTTTATTTTGAATAAATCAGGTCCTATCTGATTTTTTGTATTTGGTTGCTAAGCTTGTTCACTGTATCATAAGCAGGCCACGCACCCGATAAGATTCATATGGAAAGAATTTCTCACAAATTTCTCCATAAGCCTACACTACTGTGATGCACTTGTAAGAATTCCAGATGTTTAAAAGAAATAAACTTCTCTTTCCAAGTGTGACACATTTCAAACTTTCCAAGTCATAAGGATTCCCAAGCTAATGGCTAGGAACTTACAACGGAACAACGGTGAATATGTGACCTGTACATATGTTATAGTGAAAGATATGACCAGCAAGATTATGCTAGTTAGGATGTTTTCATCTGGATGTTAAAAGCTGATGCCTCACTCAGAATGAGGAGAATAGTCATGCTTCTTAAAAATTCTCCCAACTCCATTTGTGGTGAACTGGCACTGTTTAGTATAATAATAAAAATAGCCAATATATATCGACTTCTTACTATTGGAAGACTAGTAAACAAAGAAATGGAATACCTGGATTTAAGTGTTAGCTTGCTACACTTACTGGCTGGGACCTTTACCCAATTACTTAAACTTCTTCAACTCCAGTTTCCTTTTTACTAACAAGAGTAAACAAACTTGTCCTACCACCTCACAAGATTATTATACTGATCATATGAAATAACAAATTATACTTTGTAACCAAAAAGCATCGTAAAAATGTTATTCTGAATTTCTTATACATACCATAAAGCAACTTCTGTTAACTGTCTCTGACACTCCAAAACAAATGAGGTACCATCCTATGTCCATAGCACCCCATACTTTTCCAATTATCTCACCTAACACACTATGCTTCAATATAACTACTATTCATTTGTATGTTCCTTTACTAAACTGGAAATCCTACAAGGACTAAGTCCATGTCTTCTTGTTCACCATTGTATTCCAAACCCCTCACTCAATAAACAAATGAATAAATTTTTACAGAAGAAAAGTTCCTGCTTGTAGGCTTTTGCTCCCAAAAGTCTTGATAAAGAAAATACTATAACTTGTATCCATGGATTCTAAATACTGACTAGTAAGAATGGGAAGAGAAAATCAAAGAAATACCAGAATAGGATCACATTTATGATTACATAACTGAAAAAAATATTTTAACCATGCTATCAACTAAGTCAATTATCACTCACCATCATATTTTGCTAGGACTGCCTGAACATCTGCATAGGCCTGTAATTCTAAAAGTGATTCTAGGAGATTCTCATGGATGTTCAACATGGTAAGAGGAGGGAATTCTTTCATCAACTGTACATTAAAAGGAAGAAAGATTAAAATTATAGCAAAGGAACTCAACAGAGCTGAATCTGATTCATTAAAGTAGAAATTCTTTAGTTTCTTAACAAAACTGTGGAGACTCAACCCTTAGAAGTATATGTATATTAATAAACAGCTTGTTATAAAAACTACCAATTAAAAAACAATGATTTTACATTAAAATAATTGGCAACTTAAACCACATTTTCAGTTTTTGAAGGAAGAAATACAAACATCCAATCATCAAATTTACTTACATCTCTCATTATTTTTACTGCTTCTCTTATTCTTCCTAATTTTCTTGCACACATTGCTAATCTTCTTTTAATATATACCAGTACATTGGTATCTCTTCCTGTTCAAAAAAAAAAACGACACAACTATCACTTTGTATTACGAAGTACTATTTCATTAACATATTATCCATTAACTGTTAAGTAATTATTTGCTTACCCTGGAAGTTTCAATTAAAATTAAACTGTCAGAATGGAAGACTATTAATGATTATTGAATTTGGGTGACTAACATTGAATGGGGGTTCATTATACTGTTCTATTTTTGTATATGTTTGAAGTTTTTTATAGTAAAAGCTTAAAATCTGGGGGGTGGGGGGATGGGTTAGCCTGGTGATGGGTATTAAGGAGGGCACATTCTGCGTGGAGCACTGGGTGTTATGCACAAACAATGAATCATGGAACACTACATCAAAAACTAATAATGTAATGTATGGTGATTAACATAACAATAAAAAAATGAAAAAAAAAAAAAAAAGTCAAGCCTTAAAAAACAAAAAAAAAAAGCTTAAAATCTATATATATATATAGAATTACTTTTGCCTCTAACAATAAGTAATCTGAATACATTATATATAAATTAATCAGTTTAAACCTGACAACTATATTTTAATATTAACATAAAAGAAATATATACATTAATAGGAAAAACTAATTCTGACCTATTATTTTGGGTTTCTGCATAAACAATCTATTATTTTAATATTCTCTATTGTTTGAACTGACAAACAAAAGACGTTCAAAACAAAATCTCCATGGCTAGTGTGAACTTTTGCCCAACAGCTAGTAATTAACAAACTATAAAACTCTTTCTAGTAAGAGCTCACAAATATTTCTGTAACTATCTCAGAATCATATTTGAGATATACAAAGACAAATGGCATGGCATTTTCCACAGATGTAGTTTCATTAGTTCCAGACTGCAAAATTATATATTCCCACAGTTGTGTGCTATAACAACATACATTAAGGAAACATACTGTATACATCAATATTTAGTTTGGAGAGAAAACATTATCCAAATTTTAATTTCCACAAACAAAAGATTTAGAACTTAACTGCTAGCAGATAATGCATTATGTAAACATATTTCAATCTATTGCCTAATATCTGCCAAAATCATTAAACTAAAACCCTCTGGCCACGAAAAATAGCAGGAAGCAGCAGCTCTACAGATTCTAACATCTTTGGTGGAAGTATCTCAATAGTAACCAAGAGAGCATCCCTAAGAGAGGAAAGAATCTCAGTTGCTTTGGCCCATATGTTCTCAAACATATCATAGAGAAAAGTCAAAGAAAGAAAGAATTGATGCCACGTGTAGAGCTGACGTTATACTAAAGGGGTCACTTCCTGGCACTGTGTGGAGGTACATACAGTCTGAAGGGCACACCAAATGATGTACTTCTACTACTGCTTGGGGGGAAGGGTGAGGATAAAGGTAATAGCTGCTTATCATTATGAGAAGGCTCTCCTGAATCTTGGATATTTTTGAGTTGTGCTTCTCCAATGACTATCCCAATTCTCACATGAAATGAATTACCTTGAGTCTCAAAGCAGCACATCTCTCAACAACCAAAGCACATCTGTTCCCTTCTGCAAGCATTCTCTAGCTAATGCCTATTTGTCTTGCTGGCTTGTAGACATAATAGATAGATTAGTTATCTCTTATGAAAAGAAGCTAACTTCTAAGTATTAAGGGTTGTTTTCATTATTGTTGTTTTGTGTCCTAAAGATAAAAGAGCCAACTGCAGGAGCTAAATAAAAGACAGGTAAAAATCAGTTCAAATTTGCTTACTCAGTTGAGCTTCATGCTGAGGACTTTGGTGCTGGCACTGCTGTGACCGCCTGTAAATTGTTTCTCCTGCCTTGAGTGCCTGTTTAAATAATCTTTCAGCATCTACAATAGTTGTCGCTTCTTCCTCAGCCAGTAGAACGTATGCAGTGGCGCAGCTATGAAGAAAGCAAGCAAGGCAATTTTAAGTAAAATGGTGAAGAAGTATTTTCTCTTGGATATGCCCTTTGTTCTGCATCACATTTCCCTACCTTTACCTACACTTTCCATCTCTTGAAGAAGAAAAAAAACCTTCACTCAATATTCTAATTTATTAGGGGTATATTGGTATGTTTTTTATGTGTTTCCACAGTTTTTCTCCTTTCCTACTTTTCTTTTCTTCACTTTATTTTCTATCTGCTTTACTTCTCTATCTATTCTCTAACTGCTTGTCTCATACTTTCCTTTTGTGAAAGGGTGGAAAATAAGACCTATAAAGAATTACCTAAAAAGTAGTTCAAGGGACTATATACTCTAGGGGTCATGCCTGCTCTTAGCCACTATGTACTTTGTAATATCCCCCTAACAGGGGCAAGTATGGGAGAGGGTGAAGATTGAGAAGAAAGTCCCACGGCCAACTAGGCACCTTTAACATTTGACTTTGAAATATATCATTCCAGGACTATCCCTTTTTCCCAACCCTGAGCCTTCCTTCTGCGTGCTGCCCCATCCTCTCTTGGACTTAGCCTTGAGAAGAAAGTCCCATGGCCAACTAGGCACCTTTAACATTTGACTTTGAAATATATCATTCCAGGACTATCCCTTTTTCCCAACCCTGAGCCCTCCTTCTGCGTGCTGCCCCATCCTCTCTTGGACTTAGCCTCAATCGTATTACAGCAAAACTTCCTTGGTCTGAATTCTAGTCTTTCCTCCTACACTGCTGCTCTCACTCATCACACCCAGGCTCACTCCAAGTTTCCTTTCTTCATCCCACTAAAACACAAAGATTGCTCTTTGTATCAGTTATGTCAAAAGCTGGATAATAAGGTAAGTTAACTTGTTTGGGGGTAAAAAAGAGAAACAAAAAGTTTCCTTTCCATTCCCAGAAATAGCAAATCCATATCCTAGTTCTTCTGGAGACAATGTCCTAGTTCTGATTATCTAAGCTTGCACTGCCCAGTACTGAAGTCCTTCGCTACATGTAGTTATTGAACACCTGAAACGTGCCTAGTCCAAATTGAGATGTGATGTCAGTGAAATGTGCACACTGGAGTTTGAAGACTTAGAATAATGTAAAATACTTTAATAGTTTAAGAAATATATCAATTATATGTTAAAATAATATTTTAATATATGGAATATAGCTAAATAAAATATATTCGTTAAATTAATTTCACCTATTTCTTTTTACTTTTAAAATCTGGCTACCAGAAAATTTAGTTACATATATGGTTCATGTTATATTTCTATTGAACGGTGTTTAAACAAGAGAAGAGAAATTGTTGGCAAAAGTATAAGACCAGGCATGAAACAAAAATGATGGCGGGGGGGCGGTGCCTGGGACTCTTGTTTTCAGCTCAGGTCATGATCTCAGGGTCGTGAAATCGAGCCCTGCATTGGGCTCTACGCTCAGCAGGGAGTCTGCTTGGGATTCTGTCTCCCTGTCTCCGCCTGCCCCTCCCCCCATTCACACTGTCTCTCTAAAAAAATAAATAAATAAAATCTTAAAAAAAAATGATGGCAGGGGCACCTGGGTGGCTCAGCTGGTTGGGCAAATGCCTTCGGCTCAGGTCATGGTCCTGGAGTCCCTGGACCAAGTCCCACATCGAGCTCCCTGATTGGCAGGGGGTCTGCTTCTCCCTCTGACCCTCCCCCCTCTCATGTGCTCTCTCTCTCTGATTCTCTCTCTCTCATAAATAAAAATCTTTAAAAAAATAATAAAAAATGATGGCAAGGTAGCTATCAAACAGCTGGGGACAAGGAGGAAATTTTGAATTCAGAAAATGCAAATCGGACCATTTCAGCATCCTTCAAATAGTACACTAAATTGAACTATATAATAATTTCACTAACCAACAGAGATTTCTCCATTACATATATTAGATTTCTCTGAAACATTACATATATTGCTGCTTTAAACACTAGGCTCCCAAACTGCAATTCTAAGCCCAATTCAAATGTTCTTAAATAACAAAATAAAAACATTTTTAAAAGATCTAGATGGGTATAAACTGATGCGGTAGAATCAAAATATAAATATTTTAAATTACAGTTTAGCTATATGATAAAAAGTTTCCTCTGAGAGCTTTCCTATATTTGTTCAAAAATATATATATATAAGATTTTATTTATTTATTTGACAGAGAGAGACACAGTGAGAGAGGGAACACAAGCAGGGGGAGTGGGAGAGGGAGAAGCAGGCTTCCCATGGAGCAGGGAGCCCAATGCAGGGCTCGATCCCAGGACCCTGGGATCATGACCTGAGCCGAAGGCAGACGCTTAACAACTGAGCCACCCAGGTGCCCCAGTTCAAAAATATTTTTAATGGAGATGTTAATACAGAAATTAATTTTATGAGTATTGAATGAATCTCACTGTTAGGAAGGTTGGTTTTTTTTTAATTAACGTAAAATTCACATAATAAAATTAGCCATTTTAAAGTATGTCATTCAGGGACTTGTAATATATATACAAGGTTCACTCATGTAGCATGGAGCAGTATTTCATTCCTTTTTATGACTAATATTCCACTGTGTAAATATACCAATTCTGTTTATCCAATCATCATCAGCTGATGGACATCTGAGTTGGTTCCAGTTTGGGGCTATAATAATATTGCTGTAAACACCTGCTTTTAGTACTCTTCAGTATATGCCTAGGTGTGGAACTGCTGGGTCATATAATAGTTCTAATTTTATCTTTTTGAGGAGCTGCTGCACTGTTTTCCACAGTGGTGATACCATTTTACATTCCTCTGCAATGTATGAAGGTTCTTATTTCTCCATATTTTTGCAAACACTTGGTATTTTCTGGAGGTTTTTGTTTTTGTTATACCCATCTTATGAAGTGGCATGTCACTGTTGTTTTCATTTTCATTTTCATTTCCCTAATTATGAATGATGCTGAGCACCTTTTCATGTGCTTATTGGTCATTTATATGAATGTTTGAATCCTTCTTTGAAGAAATGTCTGTTGAAATCCTTCATCCATTTTTAATTGGATTATCATTTTGTAACTGAGTTATAAGAATTCTTGATATATGCTGGATACTGGACTCTTATCAAATATGGCTTGCAAATATTTTCTCTCATTCTGTGGGTTGCCTTTTCACTTTCTTGATAGTATCCTTCAATGCACAAAAGCTTTTAACTTTGATGAAGTATAATTTATCTAATTTTTTCTTTGTTGTTGCTTGTGCTTTTGGTGTCATATCCAAGAAAACATTGCCAAATCCAGTCATAAAAATCTGTCCCTACATTTTCTTTCTCTGTCTTAGCCCTTAAATTTAGGTCTTAGATTAACTTTTATTTTGTTTTTTGAATTAATTGTGCATGATATGAGTTAAGGGCTGCTTTTGTATGTGGCTATCCATTTGCCCACCATCACTTAATGAGAAGACTATTCTTTCTCCACCGAATGGTCTTGGCACCCTTGTCAAAAATCGATTGACCATAGGGGCTCCTGGATGGCTCAGTCGGTTGGGAACCCAACTCTTGGTTTCAGCTCAGGTCATGATCTCAGGGTCATGAGATCAAGCCCTGCTTCAGGAACCCCACTCAGTGGGGAGTCTGCTTCTCTCCCTCTGCCCCTTCTCTCACTCTCTCACTCACTCTCTCTCTCTAAAATAAACAAATGAATCTTTTAAAAAAATCAACTGACCATAAATGCATGGGTTTATTTCTGGACTCAACTTGATTCCATTAATCTAGATGTCTGTTTTTACGATTTAATTATTGCAGCTTCATAGTAACCTTTGAAATCAGGAAGTGAGTTTTCCAACTTTGTTCTTTTTCAAGGTTGTTTTGGCTGTTTGAGGACTCTTGTAATTCAATGTGAATTTTAGGATCAGCTTGTCCATTTCATAACAACAGCAATTGAAATTTTGATAGGGATTGGATTGAATTTATAGATCAACGTGAGGAGCGCTGCCATCTTAACAATGTTAAGTATTCCAATTAATAAACATGGGATGTCTTTCCATTTATTTAGATATTCTTTAACTTTTTCAACAATACTTTGTCATTTTTAGTGTACAAGTCTTACACTCTTTGGTTAAATTTATCTTTAAGTATTTTAACACTTTTGATGCTATTGTAAATGGAATTGTTTTTTAAATTTCTTTTTCAGGGGTGCCTGGGTGGCTCAGTCAGTTAAACGTCTACCTTCAGCTCAGGTCATGATCTTGGGGTCCTGGGATCAAGCCCCGCATTGGGCTCCCTGCTCTGTAGGGAGCCTGCTTCTCCCTCTCCCCATACCCCACTCTCTAATAAATAAATAAAATCTTTAAAAAAAATAAATTTCTGGGCCGCCTGGGTGGCTCAGTCGTTAAGCGACTGCCTTCGGCTCAGGTCATGATCCCAGGGTCCTGGGATCGAGCCCCGCATCGGGCTCCCTGCTCAGCGGGAAGCCTGCTTCTCCCTCTCCCACTCCCCCTGCTTGTGTTCCCTCTCTCGCTGTGTCTCTCTCTGTCAAATAAATAAATCCTTTAAAATAAATAAATAAATTTCTTTTTCAGACTGTCTACTCCTAGTGTATAGATATATGACAGATATAAGGAAGGACTTGTTTCTGCCATTTTCCTATTTGTTTTCTATATGTCCTGTAGACAATAACTTTGTTGAACTCTATTGCTAGCTGTAACGGCTTTTTTGTGTGGATTCTTTTGAGATTTTCTATGTATAAGGTCATATAATCTGTGAATAAAGATAGTTTTTTAACCTTTTCCTTTCTGATTTGGAAGCCATTTTCCCTCCTTCTTCTTGCCTAATTGCACTGCCTAGCACTTCCAGTACAACGTTAAATAGAAGTAGAGAAATGATGTCTTTGTCTTATCTTGATCTTAGAAAGAAACCTTTCAGTCTTTCATCTGTAAATATGTAGTTAGCTGTGGGTTTTTCACAGATGTCCTTTATCAGTTTGAGGAAGTTTCCCTCTATGCCTTTATTTCTTAGTGTTTTTATCATAAAGTAGTGTAGGATTTTGTCAAATACCTTTTCTATATCAACAGAGATGACCATGTGGTTCTTATTCTTTTTTCTATTAATGTGGTATGTTACATTGACTGATTTTCATATTTTAAACCACCCTTGCCTTCTTGGGACAAATACCACTTGTTCCTGGTGTATAATTCTTCTAATATGCTGCTGGATATGCTGTGCTAGGTATTTTGTTGAGAATTTTTGCATCTATATTCTTAAGGGATATAGTCTATAATTTTTGTTTCTTGTGATGTCTTTGTCTGGTTTTGGTATGAGGGTAATATTGGCTTCACAGGATGAGTCAGGAAGAGTTACTTCCCTCCTATTTCTTTGAAGAGTTTAAGAAGGACTGGTGTTTATTCTTCTTCTAGTTCTTGGTAGCAATTGCCAGTGAAGGGATCTAGTCCTCGGTTTTCTTTGTTTGGAAGTTTTTAAATTACTGATTTCATCTCTTCACTTGTTATAGGTCTACTCAGATTTTCTATTTCTTGAATCAGTTTGGTAGTGTGTTGTTAGAAATTTGTCCATTTATCTAATTTATAAACATATAATTGTTCACTGTATTCAGCTTGTAATTTCTGTAAGGTAATGTTCCCGTTTTCATTCTTAATTTCAGTAATCTGAGTCTTCTGTCTTTTTTAATTGGTCTAGCTAAAAGTTTGTCAATTTTGTTGATCTTTATTTTTTTAAGATTTTATTTATTTATTTGACAGAGAGAAAGAGCACACAAGGAGGAGGAGCAGCGGAGGGAGAGTGAGAAGCAGGCTTTCCACTGAGTCCGGAGTCTGACACGGGGCTTGATCCCAGGACCCTGGGAGCATAACCTGAGCCAAAGACAGACGCCTAACCAACTGAGTCACCCAGGTGCCCCAATTTTGTTCTTTTAAAAAACCAACCTTTGGTTTCATTGATTCTATTGCTTTTCTATTCTCTATTTTGTTTATCTCACTCTATTCTTTGTTACTGCCTTCCTTCGGCTTGTAGTTTAATTGGCTCTTCATTTTCTGGTTTCTTAAGGTATAAAGTTTATCGATTTGAGATCTGTTTTTCTTTAGTATTGTGTTTACAGTTTCCACTTTCTCTGTATCTCTTAAGTTTTGGTATGTTGTGCTTTCATTTTCACTCATCCATCCCAAAGTATTTTCTATCTTTTCTTTGTAATTTCTTCTTTGACTCACTGGTTGTTTAAGACTCTTGCCTAACTTCCACATATCCCAATATTGTGAAATTTCCAGATCTCCTTGCATTTTTGATTTCTAATTTTATTCCATTGTGGTTGAAGTACTTTATATAATTTCAATCTTTTGAAATTTATTGAGAATTCTTTATATCGTAACATATGATATATCCTAGAGAATGTTGCATGTACACTTGAGAGGAACATGTACTCTACTATTGTTGGATAGAATGCTATAAGGACGTCTGTTAGGTCTAGTTAGTTTATAGTGTTGTTCAAGTCTTTCATTTCATTGTGTATCTTTTGTCTAATTATTCTATCCATTATTGAAATGGTGTTGAAGTTTCCAACAACTGTCTATTCTTCCCTTCAATTCTGTCAGTTTTTGCTTCATATATTTTGGGTCTCTGTTATTAAGTGCATATAAGTTTATAATTGTTGTATCTTCTTGATGAATTAAACCTCTTTTATCATTATATAATGTAATTATCTTATAAAAATTTTGTTGGAGCGTCTGGGTGGCTCAGTTGGTTGAGCATCTGGCTCTTGATTTCAGCTCAGGTCATGATCTCAGGGTTTTGGATCGAGTCCCGTGTTGGGCTCTGTGCTCAGCACAGAGTCTGCTTGTCCCTCTCCCTCTTTTCCTCCCCTTGCTTGCTCTCTCTCTAATAATTAAAAAAAATTTTGTCTTGAAGTCTATTTTGTCTGATATAGGGTAGCCGCTGCAACTCTCTTTTGGTTACTATTTGCATGGAATATCTTTTTCCATACTTTTACCTTCTACTTCTTTGTATCTTTGTATCTAAAATGAATCTCTTATAGACAGCTTTTGAGTTCCCTACACTGATTTTTGCTCTACCTTGGGAAGGTCTTCTTAATAATGATAATGATAATAATGATAATATATCTTGGGGGGCAGGGCTGTTGAGGGATACAGGGGACAATACTAAATTCACATCATTCAGGAAGCATTCCTTGATTAACCCCAACTGGGGCCATATTTTACTCTTGGCATTTACTTAGTATCAGATTAATACTTATTGATCTGTTTCACTTAAATATTAGGTTAACTTATGATTTTACATTTTGCCTTTTCAAAATATAGACCTGATAGAAAGAGCTATAAAAAATAAATGCTACATTTTACTTATTTTGAATCCTCTTTGCATGCCTCCAATCCCATTAGCAAGTAAAGTTCTCAGGACTGAATGAATGCTTTAAATGAATGCTTTAAATGAAAAACAAAATTTAAAAAGGTGGCATAAGTATTTTAGTACTCTTTAACTATCAAGAATTATCACCAGTTACATCAACATTCTCTATTTAAAAAAGTATCTCTAGGATAATTTCTATTCAAAAGCACTGACAAGTTTGTAATTTCAGAAGCAAAGTACAGATGTCTGTGAACACTGCAAAATTTGTCTCTAGTATAGAAAAAAAGAAAGGGGATTGTTAATGACTCCAAGTGTCTTAGGAAGAGACATAAGAACATGAAATCATTTGCCTGAGTTTCCTTCAAAACAAACTTACTTTCCATATATTTCAAACTTACTCATTGTTTAATTCTAAAGCTTGATAGGCTGCTTTGATTCGAGCTGGAGGATTTCTTTCCCTCCATGCCTTCTGCATAACTGTAGGAAAAATATTTCAAAAAGTAGATGAGATGGTAAACATAAATAATCTTATGCAAAACGTGTGAAGAATGAGCTAGGAGAGTAAACAAAGATTTAAATAACATGTTCTTAAACATAAGAAACTAGAAATTGGGGTGTCAGTTCACCTTAATCTTATGAGAAATTTAAATTAAATTTGGAAGCATCACACATAAGAAAAATATATTCTTTCTCTGATTTGAGTACAACATATAAGGTATTTAATCCAGTTAATTACACCATTATTATACCTGAACACTTATATTTTTAAATGCATATTAAAATTATGTGACATCAAATTATAATCAATATGAAATATTCTAGTTCTTTTATCACTTTGAAAAGGGCCTATGGAACTGTTAAAAATATACAAAACACTTAAAAACAAAGTCTTTGTCTAATCAATGATTCAATCCAGGAAGAATGTTTGAATTTGCATTTTGTACAAAAAGGTGGAAAAAGCAATTAATTTAGAATTTAGTACATTTATGGAAAATGTCTCTACCAAGATTCAACAAAAGCCTGAATTAAGATCTCTCTAAAATAATATTAGTTTTGCTACCAATTACTATACCAAAATGAAAATTTAATACCAATAAATACTAAATAAAATTTCATACTAAACAATAAGTTTGTTAAAAATTAAACAAACAAATAAACAAAGTAGATTCATGAAACTATCTGGCCTATTTCAAGTTTGATAAGAAAAATAGAGAATCTATGAATGTTGCTTTTGGAACAAAACCTACAACTGTCCAGAAAGAATAATGTGGAAAATGTTTGAGTTTTCCTTTGGAAACAAAATATTAGTCTTGGCTTAGAAAAGAAGACAATATATTTCACTTGTGTAACAAAAATACATTTCTCATATCGAACATGTCACCAGCTGTCTGACAGCTAATGCTTCCTGAACTTGACAAATTGATGCAAGTCAGCACCCATCTGATAATAACCAGGTAAAGAATAGGGTTTTGCTGAAACATTAAAATATTACATAAAAATAAAGAATAGTATTAGACTTGCCAGTTTTAATGATGGGGCTTTCTTCTTTAACTTCCATGATTTAACTGACAAGTCAATTTGGATACTGAAATCTTAATCAACATTTTAAATGGCTATTTGGTATTCTAGTCTATTAAGTATATGTCAAAATTTATTGAAATAATTCTTTTAAATTATTAAGTTACACCCAATTTTTTGCTAATTATAGAAATGTTGTAATAACCATCTTTCAACATCTACCTTTGCATGCCTGACCCAATATTTCCTTTCTGGAAGTGGAATGGTTGATTAAAATGTGTGCATCTTTTAAAAGATTTTGGATATAAACTGCCGAACTCTTCTCAATAAGATTGTATTAATTTACATTCTTTCAGGCAGTGGAGGAGAGTGACTATTGCCCTACTTAGCAACACTGAGTAGTATCAATCTTTGCTAATTTAATACATGGAAACTTCTTTGCACTTCTTTCTTTTTTACTAAGGTCATCTGATCCACCTTTAAGCATTTTTTCTTATTCGTATTCTTAAGTTTTCAACTGCTCTATCCAGACTTTCAAGATTAATCCTCACAACTTATTCAGTTCCAAGTCAAAGGGGAAAGGGGAAATAAAGTACAAGAAGAAAAATTTGTATTTCTTTCTAAAACAAGGCTTAGGAATAATTAAAAGGAAAATGCTGATTTAGTATTTAACTGTCCTCTTTTTTTTTTTTTAATGCAAAAAGGTGGTTTTATTAAAGCACAGGGACAGGACCCGTGGGCAGAAAGAGCTGCTCAACTGTCCTCTTTAAGAGCTCTTGATATGCTTAAAAAACAACACAAAGAATCAGCAATTCAATCAAATTTATCTATTTTTTTAAGTTAAATAATATTCCAATATGCTATCAAGCAGAAAAGAGAACAGTCAATCCCAAGATCAGGGGTTGTAAATGTAGATGCCTACAAAGACGAAGCAGAAAACACAGATGTGTAAACTAAAAGCATGCACACTCTCTAAAGGAGAGAGTCACAGCTTGGGTTTAATTGATTATTACAAGGTGGACTTACAGGTCCAGTTTTGCCATATTTTCCAACTTCTAAAAAGTGTAAATCTGGGTTTAAATGTTAATCTCCTGATTCTTAAGTGTTGAAGAGAAAATACCATGAAAACAAATTATTCCAAAAACACTGCTGACCAGGGGCGCCTGTATGGCTCAGTTGGTAGAGCATGAAACTCTTGATCTCAGGGTTGTGAGTTCGAGCCCCACGTTGGGTATAAAGATTACTTAAAAATAAAATCTTAAAAAAAACAAAAACAAAAAAAGAATACTGCTGGCTGGCCCTGAAGATATGTTTGTTTTCTGCCTTAAATAAATAAATCAATAGGATGAGAACAGAATCTACTAACTTAGTAACTGACAATTCATCAAGAGAAATTTGTAACACCACACATATGTATACATTTTTTAATATAAAATTACAGATATAAATCATTACCTTTATGTGAGTGTCTGAAAAGATCAAAATGGATCAATTCACTGATGGGGTCTGTCCTTGAGCTCAGTATTTTCATGGGATTATGCATACCTCTAGAAGTACACGAAACTTTGCAAGGACCAAAACAGCATGCGTGGTTTTAAGAAAACCAATTTATAAAGTCTCAACATTATATGACTCATTCCTAGAACCGAACTACTTGAAGAATGTTCCTCTGATTGGTCTATGCATCATGCTGGTTTCCCTTTCCTACCCAACATCTGCTTCCCCACTCCCCAAAAGATATATTCCCTTCTTCTACTTTACAGAAAAAAATCTTACTTCTCACCCCTCCTGAATCTTTCTAAGGTGCAATCCCTAAAGTGTAAAAATCTCCAAGTGCCCAAAGGACAATTCAAAGTTTGGGTTTTGGGAAAGCCATTTTTTGTCAAGGCACCTACAACAGGAATTCCTTTTACTTAATAGTGAAGCTTGGCTTTAGAAATAAGAGTATTCTAGTCCCTGGATACTCTGAATGCAAGTATGTTATAGGGGAGGGAGTGATAACAATTTTTATCAGTTCCACTTATCAGCACCCCTCGCCCCTTACTGTCAAAGAATGTGTTGCTACTACGGGAAGGTCCCCTCACAACAAGGCAAAGGGGGCACTAGTAAAGGATAATAGGGGCGCCTGGGTGGCTCAGCCAGTTAAGCAGCTGCCTTCGGCTCAGGTCATGATCCCAGGGTCCTGGGATCGAGCCCCGCATTGGGCTCCCTGCTCAGTGGGGAGCCTGCTTCTCCCTCTCCCTGCCTCTCTGCCTACTTGTTCTCTCTCTCTCTGCCAAATAAATAAATAAATAAAATCTTTAGAAAAAAAAGGACAATAAAGGCGGTGGAATCTTATTTTGGCGAAGTGACAGGCTCTAGGCAAAGCTCCAAAAATTATCTATCTTTCTATCTTAGACTCTAAATTCTAAATAGAAATGGCTGTCATAGGGAGGCATGTTAACATGTTTATTTGACTTAAAATGAAGTCAGACTTTTCTGTCAGAAAGTCAGTCTGATTTGGTTGATAGAATTGACAATGAGAACTTACCCAGCCAACAAGGTTATATGGAGAACATTTTCTAAAGCTGAAAATACCAAATATGTAGCTCCAAGGATTTGACAAAAATATAACTAAAGTACATGATACCATTTAGAACCTTATGATAAAAGGAAATTAGAATTTTTAAAAACTTACACAAAAAATTTTACTGTGGAAAAGCATGTGTGATAGGACTCTCAAGTATATAATAATTATAATAAAATAATATAGAGGTGTGAAATGGATGAGTTCAAGAAGCAAAAGGACTCACATAAAATTTACTACTGCTAAAGAGTATTCATCGATGTCTTTTTCAATGGATAATGGTGGGTATCAAGTCATTAGATTTCTTGAGATACATTTAAATATAGGGTATTCTAGTTTTATTTTCAACTATTTTTAATACGCTAAAAATCATATTCTTTGCAATTATTTAATCTTACGATGTCAAGTTAAAAATGTTTGAAAGGATACATAGTTTTTCAAAATCCTTTAGGAGATAAGTGAACAAAAATGTTTAAGAGCACAGCTTTAGTGGATAGCCATGGTTGCTATTTGAAAAGCCCGCCAATGTCTGCAATTCTGCTTGTGATACGGAGGTAAAGCCTAATTTCTAGAGTTACTTTTAGAGTCAACTTTAGTCCTTAAAGTTAACATAACATACTAATTTCTATTTCTGTTATTTCCCCAACCCAACACTTTTGCCGTTAATATAAACACTAAGCATGTAAACATAAAGTAATTCCTTTTTCTATTTGCAATTAAACCCATTTATGTAACCATTCCAAAGATCCTTGGATTTCCTGCTATCATCCACCCTTAGTATACTTAGTCCAACAGATATAGATCCCAAAGAATTCACTTCAATGCTGGAAAACTGGCTATTTTTCAGATCCCTAGTGGTGATTTTCTTTTGCCTATCACTACGGTGAGTAGAAGCAGTAGTAGTATAGTGGTTAAGAGTCAGACCTGACCTTGAAATCCAGCTTTATCATTTATTAGCTAGATTACTTGGCATATTACTTGATTTTCCTTTGCCTGCCTGCCTGCCTTCCTTCCTTCCTTCTTTCCTCCCTTTTTTCCATTCCTTTATTTCTGAGGCTGATATAGTACCTATCTCGTAAAATGATTGGGAATATTAAATCAGTACATTTATATAAATTGCTTAGAACAGTGCTTGGTGCATAATAAGTGCTATACAAGTGTTAGCTATTATTAGTGAAATTGCTTAAGACATCTGTGACACCAAGGTCATTCATCGATACTTTCATCAAAAAATAAATATTAATATTTACAGTATGCCAATGTGCTAGACGATAAGGATTCAAAGATGATGAGAATGTAGTCCCTGCTTTCCAAAGTTTCCCACTCTATTAGGGAAGATAAACATTAAAACAACATGAATGGAGCACTGGGTGTTATATGCAAACAATGGATCATGGAACACTACATCAAAAACTAACGATGTGGGGCGCCTGGGTGGCTCAGTTGTTAAGCGTCTGCCTTCAGCTCAGGTCATGATCCCAGGGTCCTGGGATCGAGCCCCGCATCAGGCTCCCTGCTCTGTGGGAAGCCTGTTTCTCCCTCTCCCACTCCCTCTGCTTGTGTTCCCTCTCTCCTCGTGTCTCTGTCAAATAAATAAATAAAGTCTTAAAAAAAAATCTAATGATGATTTAATGTATGGTGATTAATATAACATAATAAAAAAAATAAAACAACATGATAAAATTAACAAGTAAATGTTTGTAGTTGAATAAATTAACTAGAATGGTTTCAGTGAGGCTTGGACTAAATACTGTAGAACTGCAGAGAAGAAAAGTGTTTAACTCTGGAGTTCCCAGAGAAGGGTTCCTAGAGAATGTGACTTTTAATTTGGATCTCGAAGGATAAAAGCAGGAAGCATAAAAGTAGGAGGATAGATACGAAAGGAGAGGGCATTCAAAGTAAAAGAAAAGTGATAAAGATCTGTCTTTAACCATGTATTTAAGAGTCTCAATACTAACTTCCATAGAGAAGACTTAGACCTAAACATAGACATTTCTATGATCTTCCGCCACTTTCCATTCACCTCTAACATGACTGGGATAAAATATACTCCATTTTAATCTACATGCCATGCCTGGGTTTACACTTTGCCTTACTCTTATGTATAATTGCACATGTTAATTCCCCAAACCAAACTGGGTATACTGTTCTCTGCATGAACAGTTGCTGTAGTTGATCTGAAAGGTTTTTTAAGTAATAAAAGAAGCAATTTTACATTTTTATAAAATACTTTAAATTCTTTATAAGAAGGATAGGTAGTGTAACAACCTAGTTTACATTCATACTTAGTTTCAATTTAATCTGGCTCTCTTATCCATGATGCAAAACAATCTCAAGCCAAATAACTTTGTATATTATAATAAGTAACTCTAAAGACTTTTTAAAATAATTTTCATCACCACTGTTTACCCCATGAACAGATATGACACATACCTATGTCTGAAGGACGTAAAAAGTCCGTGTCACAGGTGAAAAAGGTCTGATGGTCCTGAGCTGACAAATTCATGTCATAGTATGTAAGTGGCTCTTTACCAGTCACCCAAGTATATCTTTACCAAAACACAAGAAAATATGTAAATTGAACATGTGAGAACCTTTACCTACTACAACAGACACTATTTAAAATGCAAAAATATACTGCTACAACTTCTATTTCAGGATGTTTTAAAAGCTTATTATCAGAAAAACAAGTTAACAATACAAACTACTTAGAGTATGACAATAAAAAATCAAAAACCAAAAGGGAAAAGGCCAGATTATTAGTGCTTCTAAATTAGATGAGGGGATAAAACAATTTGACTTAGATACATACCTTATTAAATATACTTAAATTCTCAGTGAATTAGGATTATTAAAAGTAAAACTACAAAGAAGCTAGAAGAAAACATAGATGGCCTTTTACCAGATGTCAAAATGGTAAAGGGCTTTCAAAGCATAAAGCAAATAGAAACTTTTTCCAGATTTTACTAAATTAGAAATTTAAACTTTCATATCCCCCTGAAACCCACAACAATTAATAGCAAGTTAACAAACTGGCTAATAAATACATTTTTAAAGGTCCAATCTCAGTAATTAACAAAGAGTGAATTAAATTAACAAATTTTTACTTTTCATCTGTCAAATGGCAAATATATGATGCTGAGGATGAGGTGGAATATGGACTCATACATACTGCTGGTATAAGCGTAAATTGGCATTTACATTTCTCTTTCCAAAAATCAATTAGGTAATATCTATTAGGAGTCTTAAAAATATTCACATCTAGCTAGGGGATGGGTATGTGGAATTCCACTATGCCATTCTCTCTACTTTTTAATTTTTGGGAAAACTTCCACAAATAAGAAAATAGTAACGGGGAGGGGGAGGAAACTGTTCAACCCTTTAATTCGGGAATCTCAGTGCTACAAATCAGCCCTAAGGAAATAATCACAGATGTTTAATATCATATGCTAAATATTTATATATAAAGATACCCCTCTAGTGTAAATGTTGACTGTGAAACATAATCTGTGACCCAGATAGGGGAGCAATAGGTAAGGTAAGATACCTCCATATAACAGAATTGAGTATAATCATTAAAAACCATGTTTTTGAAGAAATTCATATATGAAGGGGCACTTGGGTGGCTCAGTCGGCTTTAAGCGTCTGACTCTTGATTTCAGCTCAGGTCATGGTCTCAGGGTCCTGTGAGTAAGCCCCTTGTCAGGCTCCACACCCAGTGGAGCATATGCTTAAGATTCTCTTTCTCCCTCTCCCTTTGCCCCTCTGCTTCCCCCTCCTCAAAAAAAAAAAAAAAAAAAGCAATTCATATATGAAGAAATTCTGTGGAAAATTCATACACTGTGTTAGAAAAAAAGGATGCAAAATTATATACACATAATGATGCCCAAGTTCTGTTTCTATACATGCATACAGAAGAGAGACTGGACAGAAATACTAATAGCAGTTATCACTTAGTGGTAGGAAAAGGTGATTTTTACTTTTTTTTTTTTTTACTTTCCTTTTGATACATCTCTTCATTTTCCAATTTTCTGCAGTGACTATACATACATTTTAAAATCCAAAAAAAAAGTATTTTAAAAGCACATTATAAGTATTATTTAAATGTACATGATAAAAGATTTTAAGTAATTTAATAATCCAAGTTGCATTGCTATTTAAAGTTTTTAAGCTATTTTGTGAAAAATTATCGTAAAGAATAAAGAAAAAGTAGATGCTTGTTCAACTAGCAAAGTTTTGCTACATATTCTAAACTTGTAAAAAGACTACTTATTAACGATCTACATTATTCCCAAAATGATTTAAAGGAGTTAAAAAAATATAATGTACAATATTACTGAACTTAATTAGAAGCAAATAAAAAAGACTCAGTAAAAGCAAAAATTTGACCATACAGTGGAGCCAGGAATGAATCTAACATATGAAATACGTATCAGAGTTCTGCACACTTACTATAGGCTGACTACAATAGGACTTTAAGCTTTCTAAAACCACACAATGATTATCAATGCAATTGAGACTTTTACATTAAAAGAAACTAATCATTCAAAAAGAAGTGTTCCTGAGAACAAGATAGGAAATTTATTTTTTTATATCTTTGTGAACACTGTAAAACAACAAGAAATAGCCTAAAATCTTTTTATTTCAACAAATGGACTGAAAAATTCAAGGACTTGTTTCTTGCAGAATCCCTTAATACAGACTAAAGGCATCTCTCATAAAAACCTAGCTTTCCCTTCCCAGGATACTACTATCCTACACTATCAAGTCTTTAAGCACAGGGATTATTGCTCAGTCACTCTGTATCCCCATCATTTTGCACAGTGGCCATACATAGTAGACACCTAATATTTCTTTTTTTTTTTTTAAGATTTTATTTATTTATTCATGAGAGACAGACAGAGAGAGAGAGAGAGAGAGGCAGAGGGAGAAGCAGGCTCCCAAGGAGCAGGGAGCCCGATGCGGGACTCGATCCCAGGACCCTGGGATCATGACCTGAGCCGAAGGCAGACGCTTAACCATCTGAGCCACCCAGGCGCCCCGACACCTAATATTTCTTGTTCAATGAATTAAATAACATGCCTCAGTCTACCTCCAGGTAAAACACAATTCTTATTAAAACAAAGTATCTTTGGGTTTAAGTGTCAAAAGCTGTTTTCTCATCTAGAGTTAAAACCAGAAGAGAAATGGACATAGTAGTGTGGATAGCAAATGGAAATATAAAATACAAGGGGCGCCTGGGTGGCTCAGTTGGTTGAGGAACCAACTCTTGATTTCAGCTCAGGTCAAGTTATCAGGGTCATGAGATTTAGCCCCATGTTGAGGGAGCCCGCTTGAGAGTCTCTCTTCCCTCTGCCTCTGCCTCTGCTCCTCCCCACACATGCGGGCGTGCTTTCTTTAAAAAAAAAAAAAATTAAAAAAAATACTATACCCTGTACTGTTGCACAAATGAAGTTCATATTCAATGTTCAAATTGATATTTTCTAGTGAGTCCTCAAATTTTGAAATTGAGCATATATGCATAACCATATGCTGACATTTGTACTTCCTTTCTTAATCTCATGAATTCTCTGAAAAGGCCTTTTGCCAAAACCAGGAACCAAATGTATACTTACTATTATCACAAACACATGGTTTGAAGCAATGTTTCTCATGATTATTGAAGTAAATACAGTGAAGATGCTGCCAATTAAAGCTTGGGCTAATCATTTTACCTTATTATACACCAGTGTCTCCAACTAGAAGAGCTGTGATGTGTTTATAAAAACAAATGTTTCCGTAACACTTCTACTCTAAAACTAATGCAATAATTATACTGAAAGCAAAATGTAATACCTCCTATATTCTGCTCCTCTGAAAAGATTTAGAGGGTTTCTCCATACCTTGCATTCTAAAAAACAAAGCGGGGGGGGGGGTAAGGAAAATGAATTAGCTTAATCAACTGCAGTTAAATCTTAATTTCACCAACATTTATTGTATAGTCACTCTATGCTATGCACAGTGCCAGCCAGACAGCACAAAGATGAATAAGGCCTGGACCACCCCTGCTGTCACGCAGCATACAATTAAATCTAGTCATTCTCCTCTTTCTATCTCTATAGCATTTAGTTCATAATTCAATTACAGCACTTCACTTAACCTATTACAATGTGATTATCCATTTGGTTTTCAGTTTCTCCCTTTAGAATATGAGCTTTTAAAACTTTGTTCATTTTTGTATTCTTGGAGCCTAGCACAGCATTTGGAACTGACTTGTTTAAATGAATGAAATGTCACATGAGAGTCAGTCACGTAAACTACCATCTGAACTGTGTGATAAGTGCTATAGTAGAGATACTTTTTGTTCCAAGAGAAGAAAAAAAGAAAGTGATTAATTTATCTCTGGGGAAATTAGAAAAGGCTTTAGAAAGGACGTAACATTTGAAATGACATTGAATCATGGTAAAAGATGAGTAGAAGGTTGCCAGATTAAGAACATTCTAAGGAGAGGAAGGATCTTAAAAGCCGCACAGTATAGCTAGGCTAGAGTGCAGGGTAGGGAGTGTCTTCACTCTCTGTATGCAATGATAGACTCAATCTCACAACATGGAATGGGATTACATAATGCATTATTGTCATAATTATTTACATACTGGACTCAGCTTCTTGAGGACAGATCTATGTCATATTCATCTTAATATGTCTCATTCTTAGGAGTTCTGTAATTATTTTATGAAAGAGGAGAAAAGAAAAGGGGAAAGAAAAATACCATTATTCCTTCCTGTACTCTTAAATGGTTGCCAATCCCATCCCTACTATTCCTGGTCAATACCCGTTCATGCTTCAGGACTCAGCTTAAACGGCACTCTCTCAGAGACTTTCCCTGACCACATCTAGAAAGTGGCAGTATTTTTCTACTAAACTAATACAACTCTAGTGGTTAGGTTTACTGAACAAATGAGACTTTATGGCACTCTATGGAATTAGGTCATTTGTATTATCACTGTATAAATTTTACTGATACCAAATTAAAGGGACAATAATCCAAAAATATCATTTCTATCTGGCCTTCAAATTTTTACTTTCCTAAATGCATATCATTAATAATATTTACTTTGTATTACTGGATACATACAGAGGAATAGCCTACAATTAAAGTATGACAATGGATTATCTATACATGAATAACTGAGATTTTGATGCCTTTGTAAATATATTGAGAAGAAAAAGTATTTTTCCTAACTTTGCTATGTTGGCAGAAATGGCTAATTGTCTGTTCTCTCCTTTATCTAATAAGATCTCCTAATTATTAGCTGAGCATATGTATGCTAAGAAAATGGTTACAATTTCTAGCTTCCCTTATAGCTACTTGTGGCCATTTGGCAGAGTCTGACCAGTAGGAAGTAAGCTGAAATAGTATGTAACACTCTGAGAAGTATCCTTGGCTGCTGTGGGATTGAGCAGGGGGAAAGGGTGGCCTTCTACTGGCCTAGTCTCCTTCCTGCTGATTAGAATGTGGGTATGATGGCATAAACGAGAGCAACTATCTTGGACCACAAGGAAAAACTTCACTTAGAGATGGCAGGCTAACAAAATGGGAGACTGGGTCTCTGATGATCATTGCTCTCCGTATCAGCTGCAGATTACCTATATTTACATGAAAGACAAATTTCTCTCTGTTGTGAGTTTCCTATCTCCCAGAGACAAACACAATCTTAACTATACAGCTCTGAAAATTTTTTACATAAATAGTCACCTGACAAATTCTGTCTGCTGGTTTCACTTTCTCTGTTTCTAGAAGGAGAACCTGGCTCTGAAATGCTGCTTTCTGTTCCTCCCATCAGTGGTCGCAAATGGCTCACAGATACTTGTTCAATAAAAGACGTGCCGTGCTTATGGAAGTACCACCATTCAAATATCTATGACAAACAAACAAAAAATCCTTAACTTAAAATAGAACTGATCAGCAGATATATGAGCTCAAATTAAAACATTCTTTCAAGACAGTCCCGTTTAATTTTAAATGTACTCTCCTCCCCAAAAATAAGCCAAACATAAGATTCCCCAATAACACATGCCAGGCAAAAATAAAATACCTTTTTTATAGCTTTGTTATGAAATTTAGACAAGCTGAGGCAAAACTAGAAGAAATATATTTGTAAATGAAATATTAAAAAGAAACAAGGGTGCCTGGCTGGCTCAGTCGGTAGGGCATGTGACTCTTTGTCTCTGGGTTGTGAGTTTGAGCTCCATGTTGGGTGTAGAGATTACTTAAAACAAACAAACAAACAAACCAGCAAGAAGCATTTAATCTGTAAATAATCTAACTCTGTTACGTTACATTGTCATTTTACTCCATCTGTAGCATAATTAAAAGAAAAACAATTTTGAAATAACTAGCATGGTGGATTAAGACTAAGGCTAGAAAGCCCACATTTGACTCCCAGTCCACCTGTGTGCTCTGGGTAAGTCACTTAACCTCTAGCCTCTCAGAGCCTCAATGTCCTATCTATTAAATATGGTTAACAAGAATTGTAAATGCCTTTTGAACAATGAAGTACTACCCCAGTATTTGGCAGTATAATTAATGTAGGTTAAGAGGCTGATTCTCATACTGAACCATTTAAAAATCAGGAATATTCACTCTTTTATGTTTTCATGGTTTATCACTGTTATAAAAAGAGGAATCAAAAGAAGCTCTGTGGGAGCGCCTGGCTGGCTCAGTCAGCAGAGCATGCAACTCTTGATCTCCAGGTTGTAAATTCAAGCCCCATGTTGGGCTAGAGATTACTTAAAAAAAAAAAAAAAAAAAAAAAAAAAAGCTCTCTGTGTTGAATTAGCAGAATGTTTCATATTTGGACACTCTAGCATTCTCAACTACCTTTGCCTGCCTCTTTCAGGTTTCAGCTTAAATAACAGGTCCTCAGGGAACTTTCCCTGATTCCACAGAACACAAAAGAGTATTATATGCACTCCCACTGGATCTTGCATTTTCCTTTCAGAGTAATCTTTTCACTTGTAATAATTAGCTAAACAACTGGCTTCATTGCTATTCTTCAAGCTCCTAAGCACGCTAGCTCCTACCCCTTCAGATGGAAGTAACACAAACAGCATAGATAGCTTCAGTATTTCAGGGGGTAAAAGAAATTATAAACATAATAACCTTTGCTAATAAAAACTCATCAATATTATAAGGGTCATGACACAGTTTAACCTTTAAAATGTTATTTGAATTTCCTAATTTTCTTTACAGTATATTGTTATAACCACTCTATTTTATTATTAGTTACTGTTGTTAATCTCTTACTGAGCCTAATTCATTTACTTAAAAAAGTTCTTTTATTTGAGTATAGTTGATCCACAATGTTACATTAGTTTCAGGTGTATAATAGAGTGATCTGACTTCTCTACACATTATGCTTTGCTCACAACAAGTGTACCATCACCATATGATGCTATTACAGTATGAATTTCTTAATTTTTATAAATTTAAAACTCTGGTTTAAAAAAGAACAACAAATGTTAAGAACTGTTTTATGTATTATACGTGTTATGTTTTATACATGTATAACATATATGTAAGCTTTTCTGCCCTTAAAAATGAGGAAATTAAGACTCAGAGAATTATGTGACTTGCCCAAAGTTATCAGCTATTAAGTGGCAGAGTCGAGACTCAAAACTACATCTTCTGGTTCCAAGACTAATGCTTTTTCCACTCATCAGTTGTTTAGAGATAGAGCATTCTCTTTATTTAGATTTTTACATGTTATTGACTACATATGCTAAAATATGCTAAACTATGAGTGGGCTTTATAATCAGTAAATTTTAACTAATTTAACTATACTAACACATAGATTTCATCTTAAATTCCTCAGTATTTTTTTTTTTTTGATCAAGAGAAAATCCCTTTCTTGTCTAGCATTTCACTTTAACAAAATGGCCAAGTATTGGTCCCTATTTAAAAAAAAAAAAACAGAAACAAAAAACACTCTAATACAAATGCCATTATTTCTACTATAACAGAAGAGCACCATCTAGAGATGAGAAAAAAAGCACAGAAAAATTCATTGGTCATGTATGCCATACTTCCTAAGATTTTTATCTGTAGCAGTATTTTTCCAAAGTTTATACTAGGAAACACTAGTTCCCAGGGATGTTAATAGAGATTATGTATATATATTTTTTAATTTCTTAATTGAAAATGATAGTTCAGTCAATTAAGACAAGGGAAAGCTGAATTAAAGTTAAGACTTCTCAGAATAATAATGGCCAAAATTCATTAAGTGCTCACTCTGAGCTAGCTACCATGTTATTGAAAGCTCTTAGACACATTATCTCATTTAGTTTTCATAATCCTATGAAGTTGATATTATCATCCCCAGTTTACAGATGAGGAAATTAAAGCTTAGAAAAGTTAATTAACTTGCTCAAAGTCACACAACTAAAGTGATGGTTCTGAAAACTAATATAATATTATATGTCAGCTATACTTCAATTAAAAAATTTTCTTCTCACAATTAAAAAATAAATAAAGGGATCGTTAGCTTGGCTCCAATACTCTGCTCTTAAGTACTCCAGAGAAGGGCGCCTGGGGTGGCTCAGTTGGTTAAGCGACTGCCTTCAGCTCAGGTCATGATCCTGGAGTCCCGGGATTGAGTCCCACATCGGGCTCCCTGCTCAGTGGGGAGTCTGCTTCTCCCTCTGACCCTCCCCCCTCTCATGCTCTCTCTTTCTCTCATTCTCTCTCTCAAATAAATAAATAAAATCTTTAAAAAAAAATTAAAAAAAAATACTCCAGAGAAGATAATTGGCAACCTATAGGTTGAATTCAAGACACAATTTTTAGTCTGCCTGATGTTGCCAAGATTAAAGTATTGGGAGACTTTTATATAAAATCTTGTTGCATCCAGATTCTTTCAAAATCATATGAAAAATTGGAAGATCTCATTATAGTGGTCTGCAAATCTATATGGCAACAACTAGCTTTATCCCCTTCCAGAAGGAGTATGCATTGTCCAGATTACCCAGTCCTAAAGGTAAATAAGGAACTTAATTTTTACACTCTGCCTATTTCATTCATTTTTGTTACTAAATTGGGCCCTGCAAGCATTTAGTTGGGAACCCACCACCAAGCCCTGCCCCTTCCATTATACAATAGTCTTTCATATACAAATGAATACTGCCAGTCTCTAAAAGTGGAGAGGAAGATGCGGTGTTTTTTCAAATTCTGAAATATGTTGAGAACGCTGATCTATAAGTATTTATAATTATTGTAACCATAAAGATATTTGATCTTTAGATAAATACCAAACCATGAAGGAAATGGAAACTACTTACAAATATTAGTCCTGATATCAAAGAAGATGTTCCTGTAAGTGCCACGTAGAATTTGGGTGTCAATGAATTTAAAAATACTGTCACTGCAAAAGGAAAAAAAAAAAAATCAAAGTTTAAAAAAACGCAAATTCAAAATACTCAAGTTACAAATACGCAGTTGTCTTTATGAGTGGAGGAACATAAATAGTTTTAATATCTAGTATGAGATTCATTTGAGAAAGTTGTAATTTTTAAAAAGGTACTTTTTTAAAGTTTTTTTTATTTATTTGACAGAGAGAGACACAGCGAGAGAGGGAACACAAGCAGGGGGAGTGGGAGAGGGAGAAGCAGGCTTCCCGCTGAGCAGGGAGCCCGATACTGGGCTGGATGCGGGGCTCGATCCCAGGACTCTGGGAACATGACCTGAGCCGAAGGCAGTCGCTTAACGACTGAGCTACCCAGGTGCCCCTAAAAAGGTACTTTAAATTCCCATTCTATCATATCTTAAAAATTACCTTTGAACATGTAAGGGTAGCATTTTAAACTGATAACTTGTTAATTAAGCAAATCAAAATTAGATAATTCAGTTTACTTTTGAGAATAAATTAAGAACCTATCAACCATAACTTCGACAAGAAGTTTTGCAAATCCCTAAGGATAAACTAAACAAACATCCTGTTACAAAAGAGATTTAGAACCACTCCCTAATTATTTTGGTGAGATACAAACCAGTGTTTCAAATTAGAGGCAAGGAACCAGTATGTGTATGTATTTGGTATGTCAGCTAGAGAGGCAAAATAAACCAAAGACGATAGCAACAGACTGACAGAACTCCTTGAACCTGACTCACTGAAAGCCTGGACCAGATTTTTCACTTCAAATAACTGTCTCATAAATACTACGGGTTTCAGAAATAAATAAAAATCTATCATAGTTAACTACTCTCATCTAAATGGTGATCTAGTTAACACGTGGAAAAATAAATGATAAAAGTCAATGGATAATATTTCACTGAGCATGTAAACCACTAGTAAGCACTTCATTAACCAGTGACAGAGACACCAAATTAGCTTTTTCAAACAGTCTAGGAAGGCCAATTTATTTAGTCTGTTTTAGTATGTTAGTTATATCTGAACTTACATAGAACCTATATTTTAAAAAGTCCAAAATATTTCAGACCATTATCTCACAGTATTTCAGGTCATTTTATGAAATAGAAAAGGAGACATTTGCCTTTTCTTGTTGCAGAAAAATAAACCACAGGTACTGATAGTCACAGTCAACACACAGCAGAAATACTTTCATCTTGTTCAGAGCTTGAGTGGAAATATTGTAATGACATGGTAAGAGGCCCTGGCTCCCATCCACTTTGTCCTGCTTACAGGTAAAGGATAGTATTTGCAGAATCCACGGGGATCATCACTTCTTACACGTCTTTGTATCTTCAGTTCAGACTAATATAGCAAGCTTTCTACAAATGTTGAAAGAAGTAAGGAAAGAACCCATTACTGTTTGTGGCTCTCTTTCCCTTTACTTCCTGTACTGTTTGTAATAAAACAGTAAGATAAAGATAAAGCCCAAAGAAAAGAACAGACCAAGATACCACGAAAACTTTCTTGACAGAACTATCTTAAAATATTTGGCTAAGGTCATGGCATTTTTTTCCTTTTAGGTCTTTGCAGAAGCGCTCATCTTTGTTGTCTGGGTGTGGGAACTCTTAGCTAATCCGCTAAGAATGATTTTCAAGGGATCCTACCAATGCTGGGAGTGTATATACATTCTGCAACCGATATGAAAACGCTCTCATCTGTCATACTACCTGAAGCCTACAGCTTGTCAGGTGGCTCTTCCTCGGGTAAACGAGGACAGAAAAGAGAGGGCGGATCTTAAGAGCTCAAGGGAGGAGCCCATAGCTGCGGCTCAGGTTTGACAATCAGCTGCGGAGTCGCTACTAGGTCGCGCACCACCGACTCATTCTCCAAAGCCCTCCAGTGACTGCGGAGAATCTCTACCCTTTGCCCCTTGCCCCCGGCCCCTCTTCTAGCTCCCCCGCCCGTCCCCAGGGAGGTCTGGGCCTCTCACCCGCAGCCAAATTCTCACACAGCCTCAGCGGGACCCTCAGAGCGTAAAGCAGTCCCAGCCCCGCCACAAACCACAGCGAGGCCCCAGTCCCAGCCAGCCCGGCCCGCAGCCGCTCCCTCCAGCCCAGCGACGGGCTCAGGCCGGGAGCAGGTGCAGGAGGAGATGCCGCAGCAGTCGCTGCTTCACCCAAGCCGTCACCGTCCGCCATCTTGCCGCTCCCGCAGGCTCCGGGAGCTGGGAGGGGAGAAGGGCAGGAAACAGGGAGTCGGGAATCCTGGGATAGTGGCGGACATGAAGTTGGCCTCTGTGAAGGCTGAGTCCCAGGGAAAGCGGAGCAAGAAAATTTGGAAGGTGGAGGAGAGTCCCAGGACTGGGGTTACCTTTCCTTCGAAGGGCGGGAGGGGGTGACTAGCGGCACATATTCTGGAGGAACTGGACTGAGATGTGATCTCGGAGTGAAATGTTTTTGCTTCCATACGAGTGAGGATCACCTCTCACCCTATTCCTGGGGTTGGAAAAGCCACCGACCGTTCCAGGGCCCGAGCAGCACTTAGCCCTTTGGACTCGGCTGCCACGGAGATCACTGGTACTGGGAAAACCTACAGTAGCAATTGCTTGGTCGGATGGAGCTCGGATGTCAGGAATAGTCGAAACACTCTCCCAGCGTCTCATAGATGAATGGGGGAAATGAATGTAACTCAGTGAGGAAGCAATTAGACTTAAAATTATTTAAGGAAAAGGCTTAAGGCTGAGTTTGAGACTTCCCGGAGCTCCCGTAACTGACATGGCGCCCTCTAGGTCGGCGTTTCCGGGCGGGTCCTTCCAACGGCCCCCGCGGTGATTCCATCACTCAGCTTCCTTCCCGGCCTGCCTCGCGCCAGGGCCGGGTTGGGCCAGAGCAGCCCAAGATGGCCGACTTCGAGGACCGGGTGTCGGATGAGGAGAAGGTAAGGGGTCCGCCTCTCTCTCTTGCCTCCTCTCGCGACAGGGAACAGGGGCCCGACCTGGCTGCGGTGGGAACCCTGGCAGTGTCCCCAGGAAAAAGAAGCTTCTTGGCCTGTGCTGGCATACGCTCTGCAGTTGGGACGCTTCTCTCTTTAGGGGCTTTCGTCTGCCTCACGGTGGCCCCAGTTCCCCATTCCTCAACTCTCTTTTTCTCCTCCTGGGCCTGAGGCACAGCCCAGTGACCTTCCTGCAAGCGAAGAGACTTTCCTTTATTGAATCGTGACTGTGGACTTTTTTCTGTAATTAAGAGAGGGGGCGATGGTGATGTCTCGACGTATCAAGAAGCAGTTATTTTACCGCCTTTAACTGTTGGGGCTCTCCCCATCCCCCCATTTTTAAATATGATTGAGGCTAGTTTAGGGCGAGTCACTTCCTGGTCAGGGTGGCCTCTTAACTTCCCTTTTGCTCCTCCTTCCTCAGGAAGTGATTTTGCTGTCACGACTCCTCGACAGGGAGAGGTCCCCATGTGTTGTCCACCCATCCACTCTTTTCTCACTGACTATCGGCTGAACTGATTCTCAGTAATAAATGTGTAAGCTTCAGGACATTTGCTTCAGAATTTGAACACCACTCTTCCCCGTAGACACTCCCTTGATTGATTGTATGTATGCACATTAGCCCGCGGTGACTCCATCCCTTGCGTCTTACATCCTATTAACGGTAATTTTTGAAAAATAGTTTTCTATTTCTTGTTAACAAATCAAGAATAGCCAGCGAATCTTTTTTAACTCTATAAAGGTTTTTGTATAGCACATAAACTTCATATTAACACATTCAAGTCTGGACAAAACATCGTGCTTTCTTTGATGCTCCACTGTGGTGTCTTTGAGTATAGTTAAATTTGTCAGTGTGTAATTTGCCTATTTACTTCTTCAAATGTGTTTTAAATACAAGAGCATATTCTATGTTAGGTGGAATAACTTTTTGCTGACAGCTGCACGCCTTTCTTAACACTTTGTCAGGCTTTTCAGTAACTACCTGATTTTAGGGCCTGTAGAAATTAGAATGATTTCGCTAGATGACTCGTTATAGGACAAGAATTATGTCTTTTGTTTCCCACAGTGGCTGTAACAAAATGTGCACTTTCTTGCTCTGGAAATGTATCTGGGCTCTTTCTTTTTTTAATAAAAGAGAATGGAATGGCACAAGGGACAGTTTATGATCCAGGAGTACTCGGTACAGAATAATTTGATATGTCATACTTACATATACCATGTCATTTTGAAATACTGAAGAATGTGCTAAACACTCACAAGTCATTGAATAATACTTTAGCATTGAATTTTCTCATTCTTGAAAATTCTCATGTGTAAAACTTAGGGGAGAAAAGGACATCGTATATATGAATTTATGCTGAAGAGAAGACTGTAATAAAATGTCTAGTCTAAGTCAAAGAGTTTTGATTTGGATGAAATTAAATTATAGTAAAAATCGGAATAACCAAACATTTGTTAGCTCAACTGATTGTCCATTTGTTTTAAGGAAAAATATTGTTACAACAAAATTTCACCAAAAACTAAAATAACAATAAACTTTGAAGTTTATGGTGTCCAAACAATACTATGTTTACTAGTATTGTTGGGTTTTTGTCTTTCACGATAGGTTAGAATGCCTTTTTAATTAAACTTGGGAAAATATAATACATGTATTTCAAAAGAAAAGTGCAAATTGAGATGTCTTTGGATATTGACAATGTTTAATAACGTTAATAGTCTTGATTTTATAACAGCTGATTTGTGACCAGTTTCCTCTTATCTCCCAGCATACTTCTTTTGTTGCTTAATTTTAATAATGACACAGCAAGCATGTCAAAATTAGTACGGTAAATCTGTCCCAAAATGCTGATGAATTTCATATTCAGTAAACAGTTTTAGATTAGCTACATCTTTATTATTGTGGATAACTACGAATAGGTGATATTAAGAAGTCTCATATAATCCATATGATTTGAGATCACTGAAATTTTGTTAGATTCTTATTCCCAGACAGAAACTGAACTGTATTTTTCTGTTGCGAATCTGTAAGTAAAAAGAAAGGGCCTTGATTTGTAAGATTACTTCAGTTCTCCTTCAGCTTCATAGCTACATTGCCTCCTTTTCCTCCAGACTTCTAATTCCTTTTAACTCAGGAATTCAGGAATTGAGGTATTTTTCCAACAAAACTAGTTGATATGAATATCTTAGCATTCATAAAAAACCCTTAAGAGAGATTCTTGTCCTATAAAATTTTCATAACCAAGGCACAATTACAAATTTTTAAAATCAGGGTATTTTCAGCTGTAATTTGTATCGATTCTTCTTTTAAGGAACTCTGTAAACTTTCCATTTTATCCTCTTTTTAACCAAATTCTCAACTGCCTTTTGATTTGGATTTTTTTTAAGGCATTTATGTTCATGATGCAAATATATTTTAATACTGCTGTTTATCTTTGTTGCATTTCCTAAAAGCAGTGAACCCAGAGGTGAATTTGGTGTTGGTAGTCTCTGATTTCCTTGCAAGTACTTCTATAAAAGCTAGTAAGATCAGCCATTCTCATAAGAAACTGCTTAGGGATTTTATCACTTTACAAAGAGGAAGTTGGGTTTTTTAACTTCTACATTGTTACCTGAAATGGTCATGCTGAGCTGCCTAAATAAAACAGGAAGTTGAAAGTGTGAAATAACTTGCAGAAATAAATGCTTTTAGTTTTATCCTTGAGTTCAGTTTCTGAGAATGAGTTGTATTCTTCTAGTCACTTAGACTCTTCAGTTCCTTGGTTCCAAATGCTTAACAAGACCAAAATGACAAGATACCATAATTTGAAAACTTGAAGTATGAGACAAACTTCTCATATGGGTTCCTTGCACTGTTTCCTTTATTTCATGATTCAGCATTTTTAAAACGTAATTGCAGAAAGAATTTTAAGGTTGAAAAAAAGTGCAATTAGCATATTTTTCCTTTCAGCCTATTAACTAGTAGAATATTTGGGAACAACCTCAGAAATGCCATAACTGAGAAATGAATCTATATGCCTTAAGCTTAGATAATCGTATCATCTTTAAGGCACTTTTTGAGAAACAGGTTTATCAAAATTATTTAGGAGAGATGTGAAAATGTAAATAGATACAGAAATTTGAGGGCTCTGTTAGAGCTCATGAAAAATATCCTTTTAAACCGGATTTTTTAAATTATATATTACCTCCTTAATTTACTAGATGATTTATTACCCTCATAGGATAAACCCTAGAGCTTATTTGCCATAGGTGTTTTCTAACAAGTCATCAATTAGTATTAGTACTGCCATTCTTTATCTTCCCTTTTTTCAATTAGATTAGCTGAGTAGTATTTATAGAATCTGTTAGAAAATCCTTGGATGGGTGCATAAAGCCTAAACAGGTGCAAACTCAGATGCCCAGTCTTTGGTTAAAGTGTAGGTTAATGCTAAGGAAAGTAGTGTAATCTGTCGGAAAATTCAGACCCTAGGTTTGTCTGAATCAGAAGCTATGCATTTTTCACATGCACATGTTTTTCCCATGTAACCATGAATGAAAAAACCAAAATAGAGGTGTCCATTCAATGAATTATAAATGAAATATTGTGATGTAGTTGGAAAGAATGATTCTGAGTGTCAGGAGATTTGGCCTCTCTCTGCTGAGCTTTTAGCCACCAGTGTGATTTTGGAAACATCACTTAACCTGTGTGGGCCTCAGTTTTCATGTAAAATAGATAAGGAGAATTGGATCAAAGTAACCCAACAAAGTTTAATGAACTTTTACAAACTAATAAAAACAGTCTGTTTTAAAAAATGAAACATTAAAGTGTTTAAGGAGTTTCTATCATTTTCTGCTTTTGCACATTTGCCCGATAATGAAACAATTCTTTGGTAACTGAAACCCTATCTTTTTCTTTAGTGCCTAGCATAGCACCAGGTACATAGTTGAAGCACAACCTATTTATATGAAGGAGACCAATCAATCACACTTTTCCTTCATTCTCATATTTCCTCAGCTCATGCTCCCTCACCCCTCCCCCTGCCCCCAATTATTTTTGGTAATCTCTAGGTATTTCTTGGGTTCCGGAATATGTCCCACACTCTGGGTTCTTTGGATATTCATTGTGCCTGAGCATCTGCTGCTATTACTGGTGATCTGCCATGCCAGTGCTGGGAACATTAGATCCCTCTGGGAGCATTTTTCCTGGTAAATACCATAAAACTGCAAAGCCTTATGCATACCCAAATGACAATGAATATATACATCTAGGCTTGCAGAAGCCCTAATAAAAGTATTTCCTTCATCTGCTTTAAGTTCTCTCCTTTAGAGCTCAAAAAAACACACGCTATAAGATCAGTTATCATTTGTGCTTTTCTACTCATGAATTTCCCTCACTTTCTCACATGCCAAAAAAAAAAGAAGAAGAAGAAGTTCAAGTTCTTATATGGATCAGCTCCTGAAAATAGAAACCCTGGGTAGGAGAAATCAGTCATGATACTGAAGACCGTTTAACTACTTGGGGA